CTGAACCCGGGAGGTGGAGGTTACAGTGAGCCACGATAGCACCACTGGACTCCAGCCTGGGTGACAAGAGTGAAACTCCGTCTCAAAAAAAAAATTAATAGCCATCTTAAAACAAAGTCAGTCCTGGCAAAGTCATAATTTCTGGCAAAAATAAGTATAGTCTGTGAGAATAAAAACCTTCTCTAATCTCATCATGAAATTCCAAATATCTAATACATCACTGGTTCCTTGTACTTTTTGTGGCAATAATATACTGAAATTAAAATCATAAAAGTGTTCAGCTCAATTTATTATTAAGCACATGGTACATGAATGGTGCTATGAGACATTGCAAACCACAGAAAAATTAGACATCCCTTGTCATAAGTGACCTTACAGTCTAATAAAAGTAATAGCAGTATATCCAATAAAATTCAGTAAGTTTGGCAAAAAGGTCTATCAAATAAGAGTATAATAATCCACTGAAGGGCAACAGACTTTTCACCTGGAAAAGAAAAGGCTTAGGGTACTATTTAGCTTCTGTAAAATACTCAGGCTGAGGGTGGTGGCTCACATCTGTAATCTCAGCACTTTGGGAGGCTAAGGTGGGAGAATGGGTTGAGGTCAGGAGTTCGAGACCAGCCTGAGTAGCATAGTGAGACCTTGTCTCTACAAAAAAATATATTAAAATTAGCCAGGCATGGTGGTGTGCACCTGTAATCCTAGCTACTGGGGAGGCTGAAGTAAGAGGACCGCTTGAGCCCAGGAAGCCAAAGCTTAAAGTGAGCCATGATTGCACCACTGCACTCCAGCCTGGGTGACAGACCAAGGCCCTGTCTACAAACAAAAACAAAAACGAAAAATTAAAATAAATTTTTTAAAAATAAAATACTCAAAAGGCTGTTATATAGAGGAGGATACAGGTTCATTTTGTTTTGATAAAACAACAGAAATGAGATCTATGGGAGACAGTTGAAGGAAGGCTAAGTCTGCATTTCCTCAAGTTTATTCCATAGATCACTGATCCCTTACGCTACCTCTCTCACAAAAAATACCACGATCATATAAATCTAGGAAACACGTGCAGTGTTTATATAATAAATGCAATACTAGAGTTCTTCTGGGAGATTAAAAAAGGTACATGAGTATTAAAGAGGTATGCTAAGGAAATCAATTTAATTTTGTTTAATCAAGTGTTCTCCAAATATTTCACCATAGTTTTTGTTGCTTTATCTATTTTTATTTAAAGAATACCTAAGAACACCCAGAAATACTAGGAAGTGTCAATTAATAATGCTTTTCTAATAATGACAACCTGATCATAAGTCTTAGAAGGAAGGACTATGCTTAAAAATAGTAGTAGAGAGGTATTTATATCATAGTGTTTGGCTGGTATCTCTCCCTCAGGCACAAAGTTTTGAACATGAAATGATTTCAATGAATGGAAGAAAAAACAGTCCTCTAAAACTGCATATAGTATAGCTAATACTTTAAAGATCAGAATGAATTTCTAAATTTTCCTGAAAACTTAGAGAACTGAATGTAAACTCACAATTTAAGAAATGAACGCCGGGCACGGTGGCTCACGCCTATAATCCCAGCACTTTAGGGGGCCGAGGCGGGCAGCTCATTTGAGATCAGGAGTTTGAGACCAGCCTGATCAACATGTTGAAACCCCATCTCTACTAAAAATACAAAAATTAGCTGGGCCTGGGGCCTGGGGCCAGGCGCAGAAGCTCACACCTGTAATCCCAGCACTTTGGGAAGCCAAGGCAGGTGGATCACAAGGTCAGGAGACAGAGATCATCCTGGCTAACGTGGTGAAACCCTGCCTCTACTAAAAATACAAAAAAATTAGCTGGGCATGGTGGCATGCACCTGTTATCCCAGGTACTCAGGAGGCTGAGACAGGAGAATGGCGTGAACCCGGGAGGCGGAGCTTCCAGTGAGCCGAGATCATGCCACTGCACTCCAGCCTGGGCGACAGAGCAACTCCGTCTCAAAAAAATAAAAAAATAAAAAATAAAAAAATTAGCTAGGCGCATGCCTGTGTTCCCAGCTACTCGGGAGGCTGAGACAGGAGAATCACTTGAACCCGAGAGGTGGAGGTTGCAGTGAGCCAAGATTGTGCCATGGCACTCCAGCCTGGGCAACAAGAGCAAAACTCCGTCTTGAAAAGAAAAGAAAAAAGAGAAAAGAACAAATGTAAAGACCTACGTTTAGGTTCTTTAGCTCAATTTTTAATTATCAATATTCTCAGGAGAGAAGAGAATAATTATACAGCTAAAATTAATTATATGAAAAAAGGCAAAAGTTTATCTTAACTTAAAGTGAGAGTCGATCTTTATAGAAATTACATCACTGAGAACAAAACCAATTTTCTTCAGTTAAGGTCAACAGCCCATCTATCCCTCAAAATGAAGGCAGACTGGTGCACTGCCATATAAGAAGCCTGAGCCAACAAACCTTTACAAAATGGAATCTGAAGAAAACATTCTATTTGATTTTAAATTTGCTATGAGACCAACCAAGTACTGAGGAGAAAAGAAGAAGTTGAAAGCACAGGAAACAAATAAGAACACTAGCTTCCCTCTTCAGTCTGCACAGGTACCCAAGGACCATTAGATTCAGTTGATCTTCATTATTCATGGATTCAATATATGCAACTTTGCCTATTTAATGAAATTTATTTGTACAGTGGCTGGGCCTTCCAGTCATTTGCAGACACACACGGGATAACAAAAAATCTGAGTCACCAAATATGCACATTCCCAGCAGACATCGAGTAGGCTTTCTTGCTTCAGCTCTTACAATGTAAACAAGAGTCCTTTCTGCAGCCTATTGTGTGCCACGTTTTTTGCATTTTTGTGTTTCTGTTGATTATTTCACTATTTCATGGCCCCCAAGTCATTTTAAGTGCTGCCTAGTGTTCTCAAGCACAAGAAGCCTACAATGTGCATTATGGAGAAAATAGCTGTGTTAGACAAACTTAGTTCAGGAATGAGTTATTGTTTTGTTGATTGTGAGCTCAATGTTAATGAATCAACAATATATGTCTTTAAACAGAAACACACATAAAACATGTTTATGTATTGATCAGTTAACAAAAATGCTGTGACCAGATGCTCACAGGTACCTAACCCTGTATTTCCCCTAGGAACAGTGGTTCAGTATTAACTAATTTGGTGTCCATGACAACTTTGTAGACCATACTACCTTGACTGAGAAGCCACCAAAGTTACCCATTACCCTGTGTTACATTACCTCCAGATTTCCTCAACCCACAGAAAGTGGGCATTTGCAGAAAAAGTTTTCAGAAATGAATAAATGTTGGTTAGACTTCTCACGTAAAAGCCCTTAGGAAATGATCATGTTCCTCTTGTAGAAGAATGAATTTTTCTAAGTTTGCTGTTAACCTAGTAGTGGCATACTATGAAAGACGTACCGTAGTTTTAAACCGTAAACTCTCAGCTTACCAGTAAATTCAATTCACTGATTTTAAAAGTGATCCTCTTTTCTCAGATGCAGAATTCATATCATCTGTTGGTTTTCCAGGTGCAAGTATGTAAAGGATTCATCTGAATCAATCATTGCCTGCAAACTGTTACAGCAGTACAGCATGAGAACAGCCAGAGACTGTCTGCTTTATCTGTTTAAACGTGAAGCTTTACAGAGACATACAGAATGAAAACTAAGTCTCCCTTTCGATTGACAGCTCATCAGTCAAAAGGAAAGCTTTTAGAAACTTCTCTCAAGTCACTTAGTTTTCTTTTTGAATTGGGATATATCTATGTGGGAATCTAGAAATGACATGCTTGACTGATAACTGTCTTTTGCTAGCTCAGTACTCTGTATTGTGTCAAAAAATACATGAAGGAGTCAATTAATTACAGTCAGTCAACACGGGTAGAAGTCACTACACAGAAAGAAATCTCAGGTTTATGAATATGAAGATATATGTGTTAGGTGGATTGTATTTGTTTTAATACACTTTATATGGTAAGTAATGTAAACATTGTGACTGAGTATGATTTTAAGGGGACTCGCCTAGGGAGGAAACACAGAAGGTTTTTTTTTAAAGCATATTTGGTTATTCCTTTGTGTTCTCAATTTTCTGGAGAGTAAAATGTGCAAGAAGTGTTTGTTTTCTCATGGGGCATGTGGAACAGGTGACTATACCAAAAACAACTCCCACCCCATCTCTTCATCTGGCACACACAACACAATCACCATCATGTCTTTGCCTGTTGAGACAACTCCCAGTTTTACTCTTTTAGAGCAACTAAGCACAGGTCACCACTTGTGCTCCAGTCGCTGACTTCTGAACATGGAAAATGAAAGCTATACTAAAAAAACTAGGGAAAGAGATAAGCTTCTCAACTTCAAAATACCTATCATCTCAAATCCAAATTCAAGGCTTATTGATTTCTCTCTTTCTAGAAAGTTTCATGTTCTCCTTCAATCCAGACAGTTATGTAAGGGTTGTTGTAACACCTTCCATATCTGGACTCTTTCACTCCTATGGCTTTCCAAAGACAGCGGCAATCCTTCTCTGGTGGCTTTCACCTTGAACTCTTACAAAAAAGACAACCTCTAGAATAAACAATGGAAGCAGGTTGAACTAAGAACCAGTAACTCAAAAGTATGTCCTATTGATGTGATTATATATAACAGCAATTAAGAAATTTTATTGACAAAAAAATTAATGTTTCAGGAAAAATTGGAGAGATGGAACACATGAATGACCCTTCAAGGAAAGTCAGACAAATCCAGAATGTGAGACATCCCTAGACAGGTGCTCTGCTTTCTGAAACATCAGGTATAAGGAAAACTATTTTAAATGAAAAGAAACTAAAATATGCAACAATCAAATCCAATGAATATTTTTAAAATCTATGGAAGACATTTTGGGAACAATCGGGAAAGTAAATAGAAATCATGTCAGAGAATTGCTGTTAATTTTCTTTGTTATAATAACGCAGGGTAAGTAGGAGAATGTCCTTTTTGGTAGAAATGCTTACTGAAATATTGCAGGCTGGTATTCAAATCTGTGGAACCTACAAAAAACAATACAATTTGTGGAATTCCAGGACAATGAAATATAAATAGGCACTAGAAATCCCAGCACTGTAGGAGGCCAAGGCAGGCGGATTACTTGAAGTCAAGAATTCGAGACCAGCCTGGCCAACATAGCAAAACCCTGTCTACTGAAAACACAAAAATTAACCAGCCATGGTGGCACATGCCTATAATCCCAGCTACTCAGCAGGTTGAGGAAGGAGAATCGCTTGAACCTGGGAGGTACAGGTTGCAGTGAGCCGAGATCGCACCACTGCACTCCAGCCTGGGTGACAGAGCAAGACTCCGTCTCGAAATAAATAAATAAATAAATAAATAAATAAACAAAAAAATAAATTTTAAAAATTTAAAAATAAAAGCACTAGAATAATTATAGAAAAGAAAGGTAAAATTTATTTCTAGAAAAAAAATGGTTGTAGAGCCCTAATAAACAGGACACCTGCAAAATAAAGCACTAAGAAAGAATTTCAGCAGTGAAAAACTAAAATAAAGAAATAGGAGCCAAGCCCTGGTAATGGTAAATTTGACACAGATCATACCTCAGTGGCGAAAATTATCAGGCTTGGTGTGCAGAACTAGAAATCATTAATAAGGAGGCACAAATAATAAAAACAAAGTGAGACTCTGAGAAATGGCAATGGAAAAAATCATCCTTTATGTTTTTGAAGAACCAGCTTTTGTGTTCACTGATTTCTTATTTTTAATTTCATTGATTTCTGCTTTAATTTTTATCATGTTTTATTTTGCTCATACTGGATTTAATTGTACTTCTTTAGTTTCCTAAGGCAGAAGCTCAGATGGTTAATTTTCAATCTTTCATCTAGTTTCTACATTCAATGCTACAAACTTCCTTCCAAGCACTGCTTTTGTTGCTGTATCACAAATTTTGATAAACTGTTTTTATTTTCATTTTGTTTAAAACACTTTCTCTCGAGGTTTCTTCGTTGATCCCTGTGTTATTTAGAAATGTATTATCATCCCTTATTTTATATGTTTAAAAAAAATCAGACTTCTGACTTCTGGCCAGGTACAGTGGCTCACGCCTGTAATCCTACCACTTTGGGAAGTCAAGGCGAGAGGATTGTTTCAGTCCAGGAGATGGAGGCTGCAATGAGCTATAATGGTGGCAATGCATTCCATCCCTGGTGACAGAGAGAGATCCTGTCTTTAAAATTTAAACAAAACAGATTTCAAGAAATGAAGTAGATTACAAAAGGTCAAAAAGAAAGTTGGTCACAGATTTTGAGTACAGGAAATATGTTTTGTCTTTCAAATACTAGTGCACAAGTGAATGAATACTCCTAGTTATGAACAAGAGAAAAATGAGAAAGTTTAGCATTTGATTAAGAAATGAAATTTAGGCCAGGCACAGTGGCTCATGCCTGCAATCCCAACACTTTGGGACGCTGAGGTGGGTGGATCACTTGAGCTCAGGAGTTTAATATTTTTTATTAATTATGAATTTTTCATTAATTATGAATTCAACTTTTTTATTGAGACAGTCTCATTCTGTCACCCAGGCTGAAATGCAGTTGCTCCATCTTGGCTCATTGCAACCTCTGCCTCCCAGACTCAAAGGATTCTCAAGGGAGGCTCAGCCTCCTGAGGAGCTGGGACTACAGGCATGCACTACCATGCCCAGCTAATGTTTGTATTTTTAGTAAAGATGGGGTCTCACCACATTGGCCAGGCTGGTCTGGAACTCCTGACCTCAAGTGATTCTCTCATGTTGCCCTCCCAAAGTGCTGGGATTACAGGCACGAGCCACTGCACCCAGCCAAATTCAACTTAATAGTTAAAAGACTATACAAGATCATCTGCTTCATCCTAGGTGAGTTTGGTAGTTATTGTTCCAAGGAATTAGTCTATTTCACCTAAGTTGTCAAATTTACGTGCATAGAGATTTTTAGTATTCCTTATTACCCTTAGAATTCCTGTGGAGTTTGTAATGATATCACTTGTTTGGTTGCTGATACTGGTTTTTTATGTCTTCCCGTTTTCTGCTGTATTGCTAAAGATGATCAATTTTACTGATCTATAAAAAAGGAAACTCAGCTTTCAATGTCACTGATTTTGGCTAGTTTTATTGCTTTTAATTCACTGACTTCTCCTATCACTGGGGTTTATTTTGTTCTTTGACTAGTGTCTTCCCCCCACCACGCTCGCTTTTTTTTTGAGACGGAGTCTCGCTCTGTCACCCAGGCTGGAGGCGCGATCTCGACTCACTCCAAGTTCCGCCTCCCAGGTTCACGCCATTCTCCTGCCACAGCCTCCGGAGTAGCTGGAACTACAGGCTTCTGCCACCTCGCCCGGCTAATTTTTTGTATATGTAGTAGAGATGGGGTTTCACCATGTTAGCCAGGATGGTCTCGATCTCTTGACCTTGTGATCCGCCCGCCTTGGCCTCCCAAAGTGCTGGGATTACAGGCAGGAGCCACTGTGCCCAGCCTCTTTTTCCCCATTTTTTTTCAGAGACAAGTCTCACTCTGTCACCAAGGCTAGAATGTAGTCACGTGATCACGGCTCACTGCAATCTTCACCTCCTGGGCTCAAGAGATCCTCCTACCTAAGACTTCCAAAGAGCTGGGATGACAGGCACACGCCACCCATGCCCAGCTAATTTTTTAAAAAACTTTTTGTAAAGATAGATGGCGATCTTGCTATGTTGCCCAGGATGGTCTTGAACACCCAGTCTCAAACAATCCTCTCATCTCAAACTCTTAAAGCACTGGGATTACAGGCATGAGCCTGCAGCCTAGATTTTTTGAGCGGGAAACACAGATTATTGATTTGAGGTATTTCATGTTTTCTAACAGCGCTGAATGCACTAACTTTCCTTTTAAATACTGCCTGGTAGCATAAATTTTGATACATTAGTATCTTCAATTACATTTAGTTCAAAATTTTCTTTTATTTCCCATGAGGCTTTCTCTTCTACCCAATGGATTATTTAGAAGTCTGCTGTCTAATTTCTAAGTATTTGGAGATTTCTGTGTTATTTTTCTGTTACTGATTTCTAATATGTTTCCATTATGATTTGAGAATGTATTTTTTATGAGTTCAATTCTTTTCAACTTGTTAAGGTTTGTATTAAGACCAAGATACGGTCTGTCTTAGCGCATGTTCCATGTATACTTGGAAAGAATGTGTATTCTGCTGTTGTTGGGTAAAGTATTCCATAAAGGTCAATTAGATCTAGCTAGGTGATAGTGCTGTTCAGACATTCTGTGCCCCCTGGTGATTCTGTCTACTAGTTCTATCTATTCCTAAGAAAAGAATGTTGAAGTCTTCAATTATAAATGCTGAGTTCCTTGTGTACTTGGAAAGAATGCATATTCTGTTATTATTGGGTAAGGCATACTACAAATGTCAATTAGATTTAGCTGATTGATAGTCTCCTTCAAGCATTCTTTTTTTTTTTTGAGACAGAGTTTCGCCCCTCTCACCAAGGCTGGAGTGCAGTGGCACAATTTCGGCTCACTGCAGCCTCCACCTCCTGGGTTCAAGCAATTCTCGTGCCTCAGCTTCCCTAGTAGCTGGGACTACAAGCACGTGATACCACAACCAGCTAATTTTTGTATTTTTAGTAGAGAGGGGGTTTCACCATGTTGTCCGGGTTGGTCTCGAACTCCTGACCTCAAGTGATCCACCTGCCTAGGCCTCCCAAAGTGCTGGGATTACAGGCATGAGCCACCACGCTCAGACCACCTTCAAGCATTCTATACCATTAGTAATTTCTCTCTACTAGTTCTATTCGTAAGAGAAGAATGTTGAAATTTTCTATTATAATTATTGAGTTCCCTATTTCTCCTTTAAGTTCTATCAAATTTTGCTTCACGTATTTTTAAATTCTGTTGTTAGCTACTTACACATTTAGGATTGGCAAATAAATTCTTTTATCAATATGTAATGTTCCTCTTTATTCGGGTATTATCTTAGCTCTGAAGTCTGCTTTATTTATTAATATAGCCACTAGGATTTTCTTTCCAATAGTGTTTGCATGCTATATCTTTTTCCATCTTTTCACTTTTAACACACCTACATCGTATTTAAAGTAAGTTTCCAACAGACAGCATAAAGTGAGTTTTTTTAAATGTACTCGACAAACTCTTTTAATTGATTTGTTTACAGCATTTAAAAATTCAATGTAATTACTGATGTATAAGAACTTACATCTACCATTTTATTATTTGTTTTCTCATTGATCCCTGTTTCCCCCTTTCCTGCCTTCTTTTGGGTTATTTGAATTTTTTTTAACTTTTATTTTAGAATCTGGGGGTGTATGTGCAGGTTTGTTACACAGCTACACTGGGTGGTGAAGTTTGGAGTACAAATGAATCCCTCCTCCAGGTGGTGAGCATAGTATCCAATAAGGAGTTATTTTTCAACCCTTATTCCTTTCCCTCCCTCCCCGTCTCATATTACCCAGTGTCTAGTGTTCTCATTTTTATGACCATGTGTACCCAATATTTAGCTCTCACTTATAAGTGAGAACAAGTGGTATAGTTTTCTTTTCCTGCATTAGTTCCCACAGATGATTTTCAACTGCAACCATGTTGCTGCAAAGGACATGATTTTGTTCTTTTTATGGCTACATAGTATTCCATGTATATGTGTACCACATTTTCTCTACCCAATCCACCACTGATAGGCATACGTGTTGATTCCATGTCTTTGCTCTTGTGAAGAGTATTGGAATGGACATACGGGTATATGTGTCTTTTTGGCAGAACAATTTATTTTCCTTTGAGTATATACCCAGTAGTGAGACTGCTGGGTCAAATGGTAGTTCAACTCCCGGGTCTTTGGGAAATCTCCAAACTGCTTCCCACAATGGCTGAAATAATTTACACACTCCCACCAACAGTGTTATGTGTTCCCTTTTTCCATAGCATTGCCAACATCTGTTATTTTGTGCCTTTTTAACAAAGCCATCCTGACTGATATAAAATGGTATCTCATTGTGGTTTTGATAGGA